TCGACCTATAGATATCTCTATCTTTCTCTCTATATACTCTCTCATATCTATCTATACGAGCCCATATATTCTCTATCATAGACATATATCTTATACTAGACATAATATATATAATAAGCGACATATATCTCTATCTCTACAATAATGACATATATATATCTATTATCATATCTATACTACTCTATATATATCTAATATTATCATCTCATATATATATCTATCTCTATAATATCTAAGACATATCATCAGACTGACATCTAGTCATCTCTTAATATCTATCTCTATATATCACGCTCTATCTATATCGATCTCTCTATTATCCTAGACAATATAATACAATAGACCTATCTATATATTATATATATCATAATAATATATATATATATATTATCATCTATAGAATATATTCTACTCGACCATCTATCTATATCTAATAGACCATATATCTCTATATCATGACATCATGACATATCTATATCTATCTCATCTCTCTCTTATCTCTCTCTCTCTCTCTATCTCTTCTATACTCTCTATATTATCATAATCGCCATCTCTCTCCTCTCTCTCTATCTCTCTCTCCTCTCGCTATCTCTCTATCTCTCTCTCTCTCGCTCTCTCTCCTCGCCCTTCTCTCTCTATCGCCTTCTCTCTCTCATCTATCTACTCTATCTCTATCTCTCTCTCTTCTCGTCTCCTCGCCATCTCTATCTCTATCCTCTCCTCGTCTCTATATATCTCTCTCTCTCTCTATTCTCTCTCTATCTCTCTCTCTCTCTTATCTCTTCTCTCCGTCCCCCTCCATCCTTGTCACTCCATGCTGTCCTCTCTCTCCCTGGCTCTGTCTATTTGTCTCTTGCTTTCTACATTCTGTCTCTCTCCCTCTCCCGCCAGTTTTGCTTCCCCCTGTCTTTCCGTTTTCTGCCGCCTAACATTTTTGTAGTTCTTATTTTCTGCCTGTTCCTCTCCCTCCTTTGCCGCCACATGTTTTCCTCTGTCCCTTTCCATTTCGGCCCTCTATCGGCACCGTCCGCCACTTTTGGGTTTCATGTCCTTCTCCCAATTATTTTGTAGTTTCTCCTCGTTTATCATGTCCTCTCCCGTTGACTGTACTAGCCCTTTTTCAGCTGCCCTTTCTTGAGTTGTTCGGCCGTTCTTCCGCGATCATTACTCCACTAGGCCGTGACGTACACGCCAGTGAGACAAATAGTTCGTCGGCCTGATTTGAGGTCTCCGACGCCAGAGCCAGCAGTGAGTCCTTCTGTCACTGTTAGTGCACGGATCAGGGAACTCCAGGAGGAGGTGAGGCTTATGTGAAAAACACAAGTATTAATTTGATTTGACTATATTGAAAATTCATTTTCTTGCATATGCTGTATTTGTTTACTTACCCATTTGAATTTAGCATTGATTTTATTAAGTTCTTAATTTGTTGCTCAATTTTTCTTCTTAGTATGGTATTTCAAGCTACTTATGGCTATCACTCTGCAGGTGGAAGAACAGCAGCGTGTAATATCACAGGCATCCAATGCCATCACAGTGGTACTGCAACGTGTGGAACAGCAAGGCACTCCACAGCATGTTGAGGCCGAGAAACTGCTGCTGTTAGCTAGTCAGAAAAGGCAGACTGCTCTCAATGAGATCCAGGTTGATAGTCCATTGAGTGTTTTGTTTGGAAATATTATCAGAGTTACTTAATTGTCTTTCTACAAATAATATTTCAAGAGGAACAACAATAATCTTTGCTTGTGTACAGTAGTTGGATGTGCCCTTTGATGAATGACTGCCACTTATCAGTTATGACCATTACCTGTTCAAATTGCTCTTAGTCTGTCTCTTTCTTTCATATTCTTGTCTTCTGTTATTTTCTTTCACATTCCCCTACCAATCGAAATGAATATGATGTGAAGACATTACCCCAATGTAAATGGGTTAAGTACAGAATATGATACATGCTTGCCACAGTTTATAGAAGAGTATGGTAATGTTTTCTTCTAACCATGACCAGAGACTGAAGACTGAGGGTGCCTTGGCTCAGCGCAGTTGGCCAGGGGATGAGGATTGCTGTCAGGGCTCCATCAGCATATCCAGGATATCAGTTCCTCTCAAGCAGGACTTCATCAAGAAGGGAATTAGTGGTCTGTTTTCGTATGGTTGTTTGCTGTTAAAGTATCTCTGTTGCATATATTGCAGTACACTTTTGTCTGTGTTACTTTATGAAGAATTAAGATTTTTTTTTCTTTCTTTTTTTTTCAGTGATCATCAATTTACAATTATAGCAGATTGCCTGAAAATTACTTCCTTTCCAGGTGACACCATATATCATCTGATGGTCCTTGTGAAACACCGAGATCAGGTCATATCTTCACAGCTGCTTACAACACCTGAGTGTGTGGTTGATGGTGCTGTCACCTTCCCAAATCTGATGTCTTTGCATCATCTTACTTCTGACTTCAACATTGCACTGGAAGTCTATGCCCTAAGCACAGTTCATCACCGGAACCTTAGCATTAAAAAGGTGAGCAATACTCTGTGTGGAATGAGAGAGGTCTACTTCTTAATCCATAGTTCAGCTGGTCTTATCTGACTCTGGGATGTGGCTCAAGTTTGGGAATATCACCATTTTGGCCAGGTCAGGAATAAAACAGTAGTAATGCTCAGATCTTGCTTATTTTTTTATCTGTTGTCAATGATCATCTCAAGTATATTCAGTATCTTTGTACAGTTAACCCATTGCTGCTGGGGAAAATTGATAAAAAATGGGGAAAATGCTGTGCTCACTTTTTATATTTTTGTGAAATGTCTCTGCACATAGATAGCTCTGCTAGTGCTTCGCCACAAAGGAGTCAGTCAGTAGATCTTGTGACCTAACCTGATTTCACCTCTCCTTGAATTGGTGAGAAAAACATATTTTAACTAGTGCTATGAATATTGATGATATTATTTTTATTATAAACATAATTACTATTATGTTACAAATAAGATAGCATAAAATATTTCTGTAAATCAATAAAAAGGGTGAACTGGTGAGACAGGCAGTACTCGTAATTGGCTCATTGGTGACTTAGTACAAGTGTAGTCATCTATGTGTAAAAACAATTAAACAAGTAAACTCACAGTGGGCATGGCATGCATGTACATGTCATCCCTGTCCGCATTGGGTTAAAATACCAGCCTAGCTATGCTAACCTGTAGAGGTATACTTGTAGTGGAACCAAAGCAAGAAGGTAACTTTGAGATCAGGATCGAGTCTAGCCAGTTGAACTTATCATACAGCCTGTAGCAGTGTATAAAGTAATTAAACAGTGTGGTAGGCTAAAATAATATTAATGTTAAGTATGTTATCTATAAAATCTTTAACTTTCAGTCATAGGGTCCTTGCATGATAGATCAATTTCCCTTTGTCAATCTATTTACCTTTTTTCAGGTTCTTTAATACCAAAACAATGACATGCATTGACTGGATACCCAATTCAGTACAATTTAGTTTAGTTCCTAAATAAGTCACTAGCTAGGACATACTATGCTTCATTTTTCTATCCCCCCTTTGTATGATTTATCATACATATATATTCTTTATTTGGGAAATATGTACTTTTTGTTAGACATATGGTTTGCATGACTTGTTCTTTTGTGTATATTTACTTGTATTCTCTTTGTAGGAGCAAAGCCGCATGAAGCTGACCCCACTGAAGAGGTTGCAGAAGAATGACTCGCGTTTGGCATCCCCCTCTGTGCAGTCTCCTGGCGGCCCGTTTGCTGTTCGCAGCTCCTCCTTCCAGCTTGTTGGCTTCACCCACTTGAACATTTCTACTCTCACCAGGAATGCTTGGACACTTGAAAAGGTATACTGCTTCTTGGGTAACTACACCTAAATGAAGTGAATCTTTTGTGGTGATTTTTTTTTTTTTTTTTTATTATTATTATTAAAGAGTTATTTTGCTTTTTATTTGCTTCACAGTTAACTTTTGTTGGATGAGGTTGATTATTTTATGCATGTTCATGTCTGTGAATATACATGTATGTACATATGAATGTGTATAACATTGGATATATGTGTATGCAGACATTTGCCTAACTTTTCTTTTTGAGTGAGGTTATCATCTAAATTTTCCTTTTGTGTAATAGGTCCCTTTTTCCTCCCCATTGGATGGCCATCTGCTGATGAATGTGAGTTGTAGCTTTGAGGGAGGCATCACAGAGAGAGGTTTCCTCACAATGTTTGAGGATGTTGGGGGCTTTGGTGCTTGGAACAGAAGGTGGTGTGTCCTCAGCGGAATGCACCTTCGGTACTGGAGATATCCAGATGATGAGACCAAGAAGGTAGGAAGATGGAACACAAGATGACACTAGTCTAAAAATTGTTTGGGATTATCTATTAGGAATTGGATTCTACATACTACTTTAAGTAAGAAGTTTCATCAAAATTCCATGTGCAGTAATTATGTATTTCTGTGCAGGATGCCATTGGACAGATTGATCTACGTAGATGCACAACACGGCGTGTAGAGCTTGTGGCAAGGGATGTCTGTGCCCGTCAGCATACCTTCCAGTTGACCTGCATGCGTCCTGCATACAGTGGGGATATTAATAACCTTGTGCAAGAGATTCATGGTTCTGCTCTTGTTAGCAAGTGGGTATCTTTGCTCTTAAAAGTGTCATGCTCTTTTTCAACTTTGTACTCTTGTTCTTTTTCCTTTTTCACTTTTACTCTCCCATTTGTTGTGCTGTTCCTTCGATTGATTGAGATAAAGATAGTGACTAAAATATGGTGTTGGTAATTTTAGGATGTTTCTCCCCTTTTCTCCAGGTTGCTCTTGTCTGCAGACAGCAAGGAGGAAAGAATACTGTGGTGCAACAAGCTTAACAAGGCTTTGGCTAACATCAGGGCTTGGGATCCTGATGCTCTTAGGCCAGAGGATTACCAAGTATAATGGCCACATCACTTTAAGGATATTTGCAGCTTGAATAACAAAAATTTGCTTTTGAGAAATTAACACAAATCTCTCTCAGGCCAAATGATTAAATTTAGAACAGCCTGTACTTACTTTCTTTGCCTGTTAGTTTTCACAGACAGGAAAGTGAGTGCTTTGCCAAGTTTCTAGATGTTTATATAAAACTGATTGCCTGAAAATAATAGGGAACAAATTCATTTATGATGGAATATATATATATTTTATAGCAAAGATGCTTTTTATGAACATATTTCTTTTCTTCATAGTATGCTTTCATATACTTTATTACAATGATTTTCTTTTATTGTAGTGGGATTTATTTATACTTAAATATTATGTAGTATATGTTACTAATCACTTGTCATATATCAGTTTCTGAATAGTGGCAAACTATCCAAAGGAATATTTGTTGGACACATCTGTGCTTGCATTGAATTGATTCAGAAATATTGTTCTTTTGTCTAAACTGACTTTACAAAGTAATTCACACCTCACTCCTCCCAATCCATACAGTTTGATGACATTGTTGATTACATTGAGTCAGTACAGTATGTAGTTTATACCTTTGGGAGACAGGATTTTGAATTGTTGAAAGATTTCTATATAACCTTAAAAACTAAATGTTTTTCTAGAGAAGTGCTGATTGAAATATTGAAGATTACATGGGGTAACTTTCCTTCAGTTTATTTAAAACATCTTAGTAGGTTAAGAGTATCCCTTATACAGTCTGTCCAATTGTAATAAAACTAGCAAAATGGTTTCTTTGATTTCCTTTCTTGTAACCTGATTAAGATTAACAAATAGTTCAACATCACTATTAGATCATCTGTCAAGTTACTTGCAAAATGGTGGTTACAAGTGTGTTAACCCATTGCCACCGGGGAAAATGAATAAAAAATGGGAAAATGCTGTGCTCATTTTTTATATTTTTATGTAATGTCTCTGCACTTAGATGGCTCTGCTAGTGCTTAGCCCCAAAGTAGTCAATTAGTAGACCTTGTGACCTTACCTGATTTCACCTTTCCTTGAATTGGCGGGAAAAACATATTTTTTACTAGTGCTATGAATACCGATGGCTATTCACTCGTGTATGAAACTCTGATGAACGAACACCATGTTCAAACACAGCGGCAATAAACAAAGTCCTGTGCCACTAGAGCAACCTTGGGGCCCAGGGCCCGTGACATTATTGCTTCTGAGTTTCCTAGAGTAATGGAAATAAAGTAAAACCTGTTATTACAGATCCCTTTGCACTTTATAGCGCTTTGCCAACACCTTCAGTGCTCTTGCTTTTGCAGGTGACACGAGGCTACAGTAGGTGTAGTCAGCACCTCACCTCGGAACTGCAGCTCTCTTCTACACTAGGGTAACCCTTGTGGGCTTTGACCCCTGGGTAGGGAGGCCCAGTAGTCTGGGGCGTCCTTTGGGCGCACTTTTTCTTTTATTCTGAATTTCTCCCCTGTGACTTTCCTGAGCCTACTGGAGTTCCTTGTGAACTCCTGTATTCTTATTGAATTTCCGTCCTTCTCAAGTTCAGCGGTAAGGAAGTGTCCTCCACATAACTCAATCCCTCTGTGGTACTGGAGGACTTAACCAGGCTTCCACTAGGGGGTAGAGGACGGAAAACTGCCTTACTCTCTTAGCTATTGTTGTTTGGTTGATACCAAATTTTAAGAGTTTTTGATCCCTTCAGGACTACAACTTTGAGCTAAGGGGTCGGACCTGGTCTGATACCCATGATGAATGATACCCTGGCTACCCCTTCCCCTCCTCAAGGAAGAGGGGCGACTCATGACCACTCTTTGACGAATTTGACTATGAATAGCGGAACCCCCACCAGTGACAAAATGAGAGAACCACTTTTCAAAATCCCCACCGAGAATGCAAGGTTCGTGAATATAAAATGCGTGAATGAAAATCATTTGCTTTTGAATGTGAACCCCTTTATCATCAAAAAGGTTCTTGATGGTCAAATGGACGGCAATTTTGATTTTGTAAAAAAAAATTGACGAGATGGAAGCCTCCTTGTTAAAGTACAGTATAACTCCCAGATTAAGGATTTAATAAAACTATTACAAATTCATGATCTCCGAGTTAGATTAACTATTCCTATTGGCCCAAATACCTGTAAGGGAGTAATCATTCACAGGGATTTCAGGACGGTGTAAAAAAGTGAAATTCTTGAAAGCATGAAGGACCAAAATGTAGTGGCCTTTCATTGTATGACCAAGAAGGATGAGAATGTGCAAACGAAAACAACTTTTTTTTACCTTTGTCAATGTCTGATATGAATGTGTCCAAGTAAGATCTTGCATCCAAAAGCCAATGCATTGTATTAGATGCCAAAAATTCAGATACACCTTATTAAAATGTATTGATAAAGACAAATAAATTTGTTTGCTGTAAATGTGCTGAAGGCCATGAAACCGTTACATGTACAAGCCAGATTTCCAAATGTGCCAACTATGGAGGCCCCCATCAGTCAGGATCTGCTGAGTGCAGCATCCTGAAGGAGGAGACTGAGACATTAGCATATATGAGAAACCATGAAGTTAGTTATACTGGAGCTAAGGGGAAAGTGGAAAGTTTGACACAAACCTGATACTTCCTATGCTGCAGCAGTAACTAACATTACCCCTAGTGCAAGTAATGTCAGTCAACAGCTTGCAGCTAAGGATAAAGAAATTGCTGAACTCAACCACACTGTTAAAGAACTAAATATTAAAGTTTATCAGTTGACTAAATTGGTCGATCAAACGTTTGCATCAACCCAGCATAAACATCCTAAGGAGGCAGATACCGAATCACAGTCCGGATCGCACCTCGCACCTTTGACCACGGCTCCGAACACTACAACTACTACCTCCTCAATGCCTACTAGTACAGTATCCACCCTAGTCAACACACAACCCCCAGGAGACATATCTACTCTCCCAACATGCTCAACTTCAACACCTCTACCCCTACAACCTTCTTCAACCCCCCCCCCCCCCCCAATCCCTTGCCCGTTGGGGGGGCTTAGGAGGCGGAGACTGGGACGCAATGATGAGGAACTTCCCAACCTTGGGACTCAGCCCTCGACTCAACTAATTTTGCATGGTCTTTTTTCCCTTCCTACTATTTCGTTTCTGTCCCTTCACCAATCCCTTCTACTATCCACCTCCTAAGGTGTGAGAGCCGCGCTGAAAGGATGAAAGGCTGACTTTGTGCCAGTTCTGAACGGCCTGAGGAAGCCATGGGCACGGTATTCCCCTGCTTAGGCCTAGCCCTTACCTATCAAGGGGACCCTGAGGGGTGGACTGTTTTTCTCCCCAACATACTCCAGGCTTACCATGGCCAAAAATGAAAACGTAATTCCACTATTAGGGGCAATAAGGCTTGCCCCTTCATCAAATAGCTCCAACAATTCAAATCCTCCCGATTCCCTGACCCCAGGCTCTCCATTGACCACGGTTCTGAACACTGCAACAACTACCCCCTACTCAATGCCTACTAGTACAGTAGCCAACACTCCTACATTCCTACTCTCCCTTCATGCTCAACACCTCTACCTCCACAACCTTCTACATCAACTACCCCATCCTCCCTTATTAATACCTTACAGCCTTATTGCCCACCTCTCCATAATACTACCTCCCTCAACATTACTACCTCTTCGACACGCCCCCGGCCCTTCTACTACCCCTATCTCTCCCCCCCAATCCCTTGTCGTGGGGGGGCTTAGGAGGCGGAGACTGGGACCCAATGATGGGGAACTCCCCAACCTTGGGACTCAGCCCTCGACTCAACTAATTTTGCATGGTCTTTTTTCCCCTTCCTACTTTATCGTTTCTGTCCCTTCACCAAACCCTTCTACTATCCACCTCCTAAGGTGTGAGAGCCGTGCTGAAAGGATGAAAGGCTGACTTTGTGCCATTCCTGAACGGCCTGAGGGAGCCATACCCGATCAAACTGCTCTGCACAATCACGCACATGTGCCAATTGTGGCGGCCCCCATAATGTATTTTGTAGGGGCTGTCCCACCTACAAATTTGAGTCTGAGGTAGCAACTCTCAGATTCAAACTTGGACTCACACTGCGTGAAGCCAGACAGGAAGCATGTCGACGTGGTTTCTCCCTTACTCCAGTAATATTGCTCATTCTACCACTTCTCCTAAACCCAACCCTCCTACATCTAACTCCCCTCTTCTACCTCCTACCTTCCCCAGTCAAACTCTTGTCATCCTAAATCCAGACACTCCAATCTCCACTACAACCCCAACACCTTCCCCTCTCTCTCCTCGCACTACCCGTAACAGACAGAACAAACGTTCCACCCCCTCTTCCCCTACCACACAATCACCTCCACCTTCGCCCCTACTCTTGAGACACCAGTCCTCTCTTCCCCCCCCTCACAAGAAATCCTTTATCTCCCAAAACTCCCCAACCAACTCCCCAGAAGAAACTATATCTATATAACTATAAACTATAACTATAAAATATCCAAGATTACTTAATGAAAACTGACACTCATCCTTCAAATCCTACAACTCCTGCTCCTTCCACACTCCAAGTGACTGCCGATATCCATCCTCCTCCTAACGATATCCCCCCCTACACTCCATCCTCCTACCCCCTCCCAACACAGCCCATCCCCCCCGACTCCAACCCCGCCCACATTAACCCTCCCACCATCCCCTCTATCCCTTCCACTCCCTCCTGGATACACACGTGAATCCCTTATGTCACAAGTATCCCCTTCCTCAGACCCTTCATCTCCTAATACCCCTCCTGATAGAACACCAACTCCCACACCTCTCCCATCTCAGACCTCTTAGTTCTTATCCCACCCTCTAGCTGCTTCCCCCTCAAATTCTTCAAGGCGTACTACAATCTATATCACTAAAGTATAACTATCCTTCATTGTAATATTCGCGGTTTCCGCTCTCACAGACCCGACCTTCGCCATATCCTTTCCTCTTATAACCCATCTATTGTATGCCTTCAAGAGACCTTTCTTACACATCCACCAATTCCAATCCCCAATTATCATTTTGTCTCTTCCCCAT